TGACTGGAATGTGAAAGTCGCAAACAAGGAAAAAGGATCAGTATTTGGAAAATATAGCTTTCATGACAGAAATCAAGTAGGAGATCGTATGACAGAATTTTGCAAGACTAACGACTTACTTATTAGAAATACCTTTTTCAACAACATAAACAGCTGATTATACATGTGAGCCTTGTCAGATAGAATGCACAGGAATCAAATCAACTACATCTGTGGAAAGAGATGACAGAGAAGCTTAATATCATTAATCAGAACAAGGCCAGGGGATGACTGTGGAACAGACCATCAATTGTTCATATGCAAGTTCAAGTTGAAGCTGAAGAAAAGTACAACAAATCCACAGGAGCCTAAATACAACCTTGAGTACATCCCACCTGAATTTAAAGACTATCTTAAGAATAGATTTCGTGCATTGAATGCCAATGATCAAAGACCAGATGAGTTGTGGGATGACATCAAGGACATCATACATGAAGAAAGATAAAGGTCATTAAAAAGACAGGAAAGGAAAAAAAAAAAAAAATGGATGTCAGAAGAGCCTCTGAAACTACATTTGAAAGTAGCGTAGCTAAATTGAATGGAAGAAATGATGACGTAAAATAGCTGAACAGAAGATTTTAAAGGGTGGCTTGAGAAGACAAAGTAAAGTATTATAATGAGATGTGCAAAGACCTGGAGTCAGAAAACCATTAGAGAAGAACGTACTCGGCATTTCTTAAGGTGAAAGAAATTCTCTGGCTTCGGCCTCCAGGGCTCTGCCCTCTGGACTTCTATCTTACCTTGAGCCTACTCTATCTCAGGGACCCCGGACAGAAGTTTGGTTCCACACTCCCCTCTGGTGTTAAGTCAAATGATGAGGACCCCTTTCCTTTGGTCTTATCTCTGGAACTCAGATTGTCACTTACCCACTATGGGGAATAATACCCCCAGTGGACAGAAAATAACACTTTCAATTTTAATGTCCTTCAGGACTTAGATAATTTTTGTCAATGTCGTGGGAAGGGTCCAGAATTCCTTATGTCCAGGCCTTCTTCACGCTCTGCAGTCGTCCTTCTCCGTCATTCTTGCTCTACACACCAGGTTCTCCTCCGTTCTGAACCAGTCTTGCCGACTCTGCCCCAGCCCTGAACCCTGCTTGCACCGGCCAATCACTCTCTGCTACCTCCCCCAGTGGGTCTCCCTCCTTATGACCCTCCTGCTCCTCCTCCAGACCCCACTCCTTCTGCCTCCTTTTTTCCTCCCCACACTTGTTTTCAGGCCACTCAGCCCACAGCCCCCGTTTCCCCTTCAGGAAGTGTTGTTGTTATTATGTGCCGTCGAGTCTGCCCGTAGCTGGAGCTAAAGGCATTGTCTGGGTTCATGCGCCTTTTTCTGTATCTGATTGTCTCAAATTGAAAACACCTTGGCTCCTTTGTAACCGACCCCACAACTTAAACCAAAGAATTTGAATATATCAGCCAGTCTTATGATCTCACCTGACATGATATATATGTCATTTTCACCTCTTCCGTCACCCCAGAGGAAAAGGAGTGCGTCTGGCTAGTGGCTTAGGCTCATGCAGATGGACTCCACAAAGCTCACTCCTAAGCTCACCCCTTAGGATAAACTGCAATCTGTCCCTCCACTCGACCCAAATTGGGACTATCAGATAGATTGCCTGGGCAGACGACACCGTGGCCATAAGCTCACTTGCCTCATTACTGGCCTGAGAAAAACAGCTCATAAGGCAGTCAATTATGAGAAACTTAAAGAACTCACTCAGGGTCCTGAAGAGAATGCAGCTTTATTCCTTCCCTGCCTGCCTAAAGCTGTACAGAAGTATATTACCCTAGACCCCACTTCACAGGAAGAATTCCTCTTAACATACATTTTCTTTCTCAGTCTGCCCCTGACATCTGAGGGAAACTTCAGAAACTAGTTCACAAATCCTCAGAAACAGGTTCACAAAATCCTCAAAGAGACCTTTTTAACCTTGCCTTTAAAATCTTTGATAATAGACACGAGGAATTAAAATTATAAGAACAAAAACAAGATCAGACAAAAGCCCAGCTTTTAGGTGGTGTAGTGCCTAAGCCATTTGACTGCTCACCAGAAGGCTGGTGGTTCAAACCCACCAACTACTCCTCAGAAGGAAGGTTGGGTAATCTACTTCCATAGTGATACTGCCTTGGAAACCCAAGGAGGGGTCACTATGAGTTGGATCCGTCTTGATGGCAGTAGTTTACAAGGCTCTGTAAGATAGCCATCAAGGGGAAAAGTTACTCTTAACCCCCTTCCAGGACCATGGAGAGACAAACTTGAGCTTCCCCCAGGTCCATGTTTCAAATGTGGCAAAGAAGGCCATTGGGCCAGATCCTGTCCAAATCTGAGATCCCGGCTGGACCTTGTCCATTGTGTGGAGAAGAAGGGCACTGGAAATCAGACTGCAGTCAGGCCCACCAAGGCAGGATTGCATCTGCTCCCACAAACCCCCTCTGAGTCTGGTTTGGAGCTGCCTGATCTTCTTGTCCTTGCTACTGAAGACTGAAGATGCCCAGGCTCCCAACAGGCCCCAACAACTCCCATCTCAACAACGAAACCATGAGTAATTATAACAGTGGCAAGGAAGCCTATCTCGTTCTTAACAGATACTGGGGCCACTCATTCTGCCCTACCTGAATGTACCGGAACTTTAAATCTTCAATAGTCTGGCCATGGGAAACAGTGTCATATCCCGCCACCTTTTTTCCACTTGTGATGTGAGAGCTTCTGTCTATGAACCAAGTGTTGGAGGATGCAGGTAAAAGTGTGTCAGTTGGGTAAGGAAAGTAGGGTTGTTTAAGTGAGAATGTAGGTAAAGGTATGAGGAAAGTAGGGTTGTTTCAGATAAAGGTATGTCAATTGGGTGAAGAAAGTAGGTGGTGGTTTGGAGACAGGGATTGGGAGAAGAGTAGCTGGATTTAAGGTGGAGGTTCTGCTTGGAGTGGTGTGTGGGCCTTGTGTAGGAATCAGGTATGTTGCTTGTGGTCTGGAGGGCTGGAGAACGTTTGAAATGGATTCGGATGAAGAGTGGGAGGAGTGAATGGTCATAGATTGGGAAAAGGTTGATTTCTGACTTCCTTGTCCTGGAAGGACAGCCACTCCTGGGGCCCTTAGACAGGTTGGCCATCCCCTTGCTGTTGATACATATTTCAAAATCATTAGATTCCCTGCACTAGTGGAGACTAATATACAGGAAATATGTAAACAGGCTAAGTGGCTTCGCAGATTTAACAAACCCTCTGTCACTTCTTCATTAACCTCCTGGAAACCCACTTTCTTTTGGCTACTACCTTTATTGAGACTTCTCATATCTATATTCTTAATACTAATGTTTGGGCCCTACCTAATCAAATTTTTTGTGAAACTTCTACAAGAGCCTATTAAAGCAATAACCAATAATTCAATAAAAGATAGCCTTCTCTTATGACCAGCCCATTATCAACCTAGATCTCAACATGAAACACAGGGACAGCTCTACGTCCCCTACCAGTAGGAAGCAGTTACAGAAAAAACAACATCCCTCAACATCCCCAGCAACACACATTTAGATAAATTTTTATACATCAAGGAAGAGGAGGGAATGAATGGTTAACAAAATCAAACCTCACAATAATTTACACTCAGCCAAAAGGGAATGTTACAAAATAATAATAATAATAATAATAATAATAAAATCCCAGGCTATCAGACTTCTGGAAATAGTTAATGACTGCTGTCTGACTCCTGTAAAAAGTTATCTTATGGGGGCACCATGACCACAAGGAGAAACACACTGACCAAGGAAGGAAAGGGCTGATCGTGGGACTTGGCTGACTAAACTCTATGACGTCTTAAAGCCCTGAGACAAAAAAATGAGAAGTTCAGAGAGAAGGATAAAAAGACTGTAACTGACACAACGCAGGCTGGTCTCTCTAGTGCTGAGTCAGATCATTTGCTGTGATGTTTGAGTCTCTTAAATAAACTCTTCTTTTCTGTTTCTCTGGCCTGGTTTCTCCTGGCATCAGCAACCCAACCATACACCTAATACCTACCTCCATTCCCAGTAATATCACCTGATGCCTCTACTCCATCCCTTCCCTGTTCTGAGTTCCCTTCCTGGCCTGTCCAGATGGTTGTGGGTTCAAGGTCTGACCAGACCATTGGCTAGAGCCCATAGAGAAGACAGCAAGATGTTCTCACTAAACTCCCATGTTAACTTATTGGAAAGACAACACCCTCTGACAGCTGGTCTGGGAAGAGAACAACAACAACAACAACAACAACAACAAACACTTCAAAGAAGTAGCAGTGCCATTTAACTCTTTGTGTCTTTAAAGTCCAAACAGAATTTCAATATATTAAAAAATGACAAGATTGCACAAACCAAAGTTTAAAACCTGAAAGATGTGAGGGAGGCTCTTTCTCTTCTAGTTCACTGGCCTTCATGCCACCATGGTCCCAGCATTTGCTCTGCTCTGAGATCCAACTCCCTCCTCTTTCAAGGAGTCTCTGAAAGGGGAAGGCTTTTGGGGGGGGGGGTGCTTCCCCTTGAGAGAGGTGCCGCATTTTCAAGCTCTTTTTGGGGCTGATAATTGTGGACAAAAATCCATGGAGATTCAGGTACAACCAATGGTAACAGCAGATGGAAATGGGGGCTTTGTGGCCCAGGAATGAAGGGGAGGAGCTAGCCCAGTTCTAAATCTTCTGTGAGGTCTGAGAGGCATTTTAGAAAGCAGGAGGTCTTGGGAGTCCCAGATAGTCCCCTCAAATAGCTTTGCTCCCCAGCTGGGCCAGCTTCTTGGAGCTTTCTGGAGAACTCCTCTCTGCTCAGGCCCTAACCATGAAACCTGCCAGAGTGGACCTATCGGTGCCTCCAGCCTCCCAGGATGGTTCCAGGCACTGCCAGGGGTCCATGAAGGAAGACTGAGGCCAGCAGGCCCACGTTCTGGTGTTGGGGGTAGGTAGATGCAGGAACCAGGATGTTTCCTAGAGCCCTGGGCTTAGGTGGGACTCTGTTTGATGACCCACTCACCATGGGGGTTGACATGGTATAGATCTAAGAGGTAGGCATCTGGGTCCAGGCGATGCTCACCTGTGGAAGGAAGGGGCAAAGGAGGTTGAGGTGGCAACTGTGCAAAGTGCTGGAAGAGGCTCTCACCCAGCCAGTGTACCCATTACCCCAGCTGTGTGAGCCTTGGCTGCTGTTGGCTCGCAGCTACCACATCTTCTGAAGAGTTGACCTCCACTGAGGAAAGATGCCTTGCCTAGGACACTATGCCCCTCCCCTACAGCAGCCTACAGCCTATATACAACTGACTGACACAGAGGTAGGCAAGGCCAGCCTCCAAACCTCACAGGAGAACAACTCTGATGCAGTTTATGCTCCAGCGCCCCCTTGTGGATCAGGCCAAAGCTTGATTTCACTTGACTCTATAACCTGGCCCCCTTTCTTCTCCTCCCAGCCGTCTTTCCTTCCCTCTGTTATAGGCTATTCCTGAGAAGCACTCCCTCATGCACCCCTGGGGCCTTTTCTTTCTATCTTTAAAAAAATTTTTATTGTGATTCGGGTGAAAGTTTACAGAGCAAATTCATTTTCCATATAGCGGCTCATATATACTTTGTGTCATGACATTGACTGCAATTTTCCCAATACACTGGCTCCCCTCCCACTTCCTCCCACAGTTCTTCCCTGTGTCCTTCCCTCCATGCACTCCTGCTCCCCGAGCTGTCTCCCTGTGCATACACAGCCCTTCTATTCTCCCATGATTGTTCTCTTCAAGGAGTGAATCTACCTCATGTAAATGTTCAGCTCACATGCCTGTCTTCTGTTTGGCTGAAAGCCACAGCAGTGGGTTCAATTCCAGACCTGAAGGGCAGCTAGGAGCCATACTCTCAGTGGTTCCATCAGGCTCTATCAGACCACCAAACCTGATCTTTTCTTTTCTTCTTTTTTTAATGATTTTGAGTTTTATTCCATATTGTTCTCCCACTCTACCCAGGATCTCCCACAGAGATCC